GTTGCAGAATATGTTTTTCTTCGTACTTCCTATCTTCCTACGGGAGCCTTCTGTAGATCTTGCACCTCTAGTGACCATGTCGAATTGCTGTGTTTGCTTCCTAAAGTTTCTTAGAGGTAACACTGAATTCCTGTACAGATGTTTCCCTGTTTTATGTAATGCCAATGAATGTTGCTGGGAGTAGTTTTCATCATGAGCATTCCTTTATATGCTGTTCAAGAGGAGGTGGGAACGAGCATTATGCTGCTTCATGTGCACACTTGTGTATCCATACAAGGATACGTTTGGAATAGATCTGAAATAGACGCTGTCCAATATCTCCATTTCGACGTGTGATAGCGCAACTAAAAATGGATGTCACGTCTCTGGACAGGCCGTTAACCGCTTATGAGACAGTTCGGCTTGGGTTTGGCAAGCCCAACACGTTATTGTGATATATGATAATATTCACGTTTGTTTCGTTAAATTTTTGATTTTCACACTTGACTAGTCTCTAAAACCATGAAACCATGAAGTGGTGTGGAGAAAGTAACAACCGGTCGGGGGGTCGGAACGAAAAAAGTGAAAAGCTGAGTTTTCGGTCAAGCTATTGTTCGCAATCGAAGAAATCTAGCCAGTGCCTCGCAGTTTTTGGAGATTTCTATGTTATACCGTTGCGCATTTTCACACGACCAACCCATCAGTTCATGTTCAGGTGATAAACCAAACGTTAAATTAAAAGCGTCACGGAACGAATATTAGATGTGGAGGGAATGTTGCCAAAGTTTTTCAACTCAAGCTTATGCTTGCTGTAGGAGAGACTCAAGACCGTAGTCATGTTTACTGAGGGAAGGACCGACGGTGGTGTTAAGTACCGTGGGGGTGCTATGTACACGTGTAACATACGACACAGATAGCCCTGCCCAAGCAGGTCTGGGGCCTTTGTCGGGTCAAAGTTGGCCACTAAAACCGCCAACAGAGGCGCGAAGGGTGTTTTCACTGAGATTGGGCTATGTCTACTCAGCTACTTTCTAACATGCGTGAGTGCCCCCCATCATCATCTTGAAAATATCCTGCTCGAGCTCGGGCGCGCTACGGTTCATCTCTACTTTATCTGCTTACGTGAAGTGTCTTCTAACTGGAAGTATATTCCACCGAGTATAATACCTCCTAAAGAATGGGGTACAGATCGTCTGCCTTCTCGGCTGAAGACGAGAATCGCTTCAATGATGTCGTAGAAACCAAACCCGTAAGCGTCAATTGTAAGCAGGTCCGGTTTTCTCGCCTAATGATGCAGTGAGTTGAGATTACTGCTGTCGTAAATTGATATCGACTGGTTTTGGAGGCCGTATATGATGCAATGCTGTACGGTGTTGGCGTCCTTAGTCTCGTCGTGACGGTGATAGATTACAAAACACAGTAGTAGCTCCACATGAGAATACAGTAACACCTCATCCTGCGTTGCTGTGGTGGAGCATTTGCTTTGTCCCGCCCTCTACGCAATGATGGTGAAAATAGTGCATGAGGGGAGGCAACACAGTGTCGTATAAATAGTGCTGCTGGCAGGCGAACAAATCGCAAAGGGTTGGCAGCCAAGTAAAAAACAAGACAAGAGAGTGCGACCTGTCAAGGGTGAACCGTAAACCGTAACATTGTCCTCCACTCAAATCAGCACAAAGTCCAAATACATACGACCCCCAGACTTCAGCAGAGAGTACTACAGAGTAAAGTC